TTCTGAAGCTGTTTTCCGTTTCTAGCAGTTCTCTGTTGATGTACTGCTGGAACTGTGTTTGAATGGTTTGCAGCAAAATTTTAATTTTGTTTGATAATTTCTGTATTCTGTTGGATTGCCTTTCTTTAGAATGGGCCCAAATATGGATCTCTTCCAGTCAATTGGCCAGGAAATTGTCATCCAAATTTGTCATAGATGAGTGAGTGCTTCCAGCATTGCACTTGTTTGCTGAAAGTTCTCGATTGGTATTCTATCAATTCCTGGAGCCTTGCTTTTGGCCAATGCCTTCACTGAAGCTTGGACTTCCTTCAGTGCCATCGGTTCTTGATCATATATTATGTCTTTTTGGTACAGTGACTGTATTCCTTCCATCTTCTTTTGATTCTTTCTGCATTGTTCAATATTTTGTTCATAGGATCCTTCCATATTGCAACTTGAGGCTTGAATTTTTTCTTCAGTTTTTTCAGCTTGAGATATGTCAAGCCTGTTCTTTCTTTGGGTTTTATAACTCCAGCTCTTTGCACATTTCTTTGTAATACTTTCCTTTGTCTTCTCCAATTGCCCTTTGAAATCTTCTGTTCAGCTCTTTTACTTCAAGATTTCTTCTGTTTGCTTTGGCTACCGTACTTTCAGGAACAAGTCTCAGAGTCTCTTCTGACATCCATTTTGGTGTTTTCTTTTCTTTCCTGTCTTTTTAATGACCTTTTCCTTTCTTCATGTTGATATCCTTGATATTATCCCAAAACTTGTCTGGTCTTTGGTCATTAGTGTTCAATGTGTCAAATCTATTTGGAGACTGCCTCTAAATTCAATTGGGACATACTCAAAGTCATACTTTTGCTCTAGTGGATTTATTTACTTCTCTTCAGCTTCAAGTTGAACTTTCATATGGGCAGTTGATAGTGTCCTCTGCCATCAGCCCCTGGCCTTGTTCTGACAGATAACATAGAGTTTCTCTATTGCCTCTTTCCACTGGTGTAGTTGGTTTGATTCCTATGTATTCCATGCAGTCAGTGAGGTCCATATATATAGTCACCACTTATGCTGTTGAAAAAGGTATTTGCAATGAATAAATCATTCATCTTGCAAAATTCTATCATGTGGTCTCTGGCATTACTTCTATCACCAAGGTCATATTTTCCAACTACTGATCCTTCTTCTTTGTCTCTGACTTTCATATTCCAATCATCAATGTATCTTGATTACATGTTTGATAAATTTCAGACTGCAGAAGTTGGTAAAAATATTCAATTTCTTTATCTGTGGCATTAGTGGTTGGTATGTAAATTTGAGTAATAGCTGTGTTCACTGGTCTTCTTTGTAGTCATTATCTTATCACTGACTGCATTGTATTTCAGGATAGATATTGAAATGTTCTTTTTGATGATGAATGTTCTGTCAGTCCTTTTCACCTTGTCATTCCTGCCATAGTAAGACCATATTATTGTCCAACTCAAAAATGTCCAGTACCAGTCCATTTCAGCTCACTTATGCCTAGGATATTGATCTTTATGGGTTTCATTTCACTTTTGAGGACTTGCAATTTTCCTTGATTCATACCTTGTACATTTCACATTC